TTTTTTTTTTTTTTTTTTTTTTTTTTTTTTTTTTTTTTTTTGAGGCAGGCTTTTGCTCTGTGGCCCAAGGGGGCCTTGAACATGCAGTGATCCTCCTGCCTCAGCCTCCCAGTTGCTAAGATTATAGGTGAGCACTACCATCAGGGCCTTCTCTCCCTTCTTTTTTCCTTCCTTCCTTTCTTCCTCTCTTCCATGTTTTTGGTGCTGGGATGAAGCCCAGGGCCTCCCGCGTGCAAAGCAATGCTCTACCACCCGGCCCTGGCCTCGAGCTGGACTTAGTAACCCACCTCTCATGCACTCAGCGCTGCAGAGCCAGGAGTCGGCCCTTCTGAGATGAGGTCCACAGCACAGCAATGCCTTTTCTCCACCTTCCTGCCCTGGTTCTTTTTGTTTTGTTTTGTTTTTTTGAGACAAGGTCTCACTCTGCAGTTGAGACTGACCTGGAACTCACTGTGTAGCCCAGGCTGGTCTCGAACTCACAGCGATCCTCCTGCCTCAGCCTCCTAAGTGCTGGGACCACGGGCGTGCGCCACCACGCCCGGCCTCCGCCCCGCTTCTAACTCTTGAGGCCCAGGTGCCAGCCTGGAAAGGAAAGCCCTTCCTCCCCTGAGAAGAGGGAGGTGGCGTGGGCTTCCCTCACTGCCCCCTCTGGCTGGGAGTTGGGATTTGTGTGGCTCGGTGGGGGCCAAGCCAGGACGTCGACTTGCTTCAGGAATGGCGAAGTCTGTGTGGAAAGCTTCGGGGTTGTGGGCTGGCTGGGGCAGAGTCTGGGAGCCCCCGCGCTCCGGAGCCAAAGACAACAATCTGTGCAGGACGGCACAGAGGGCCAGCTCCGGACCTCAGGCGTGTGGCTCCTCTCCTTTGTGAGCACTAAACCGGTTCCTCGTTCTACGGCGCCCTTCTCACCGCAGTGGCTGTTGCAGGCAAGGGCCGCTCACTCCTCCCCTGCACTCCTCACTGGCTGATAAAAGTGGGCTGCACCGAACACGTCGTTGTCTCTTGCGCGAACTGAGGCACTGACCCCCTGGTTCCCCTGCGCCTGCAAATTTCTTTTTCTTTATCCCTCATCGTACCCTGGAGCAGGCAACTGAGCGTCTGATCAGTGCTCGGTAAAAGTGACGTCTGGGGCGGCAGCAGCCGTTTTGCAATCAGAAGGCAAGGAGCAGGGGGTCAGCCGGACACACAGCCGTGGAAGGACCAACGAGAAAAGACTGGCACAGTGGGAGCGTGAACAAAACGGGCAGCTGCCTACTTGTGCATTTACTTTCTTTTTCTTTGGTTTTGTTTCTGGCTCCAGAGTTTTTGTTTATTAAATAAGCAAACAGCCGGAGTTTGGCTCAGTGGTTCTGCCTCCTGCCTTACAAGTGCAAGGTCCCGAGTTCGATTCCTGCTACCAAAAATAAATAAATAAGCCAAAAGCCGTTAGCCTGGGGGTCTCCATGGAGCCCCTACCTAAGAAAGCCAACTTTAATTACCAGGCAAATCAACTGGAACCTAACTTAGAAGTATAACAGTCGAGTGGGGCGTGGTGGTGCACACCTGCAATCCCAGCACTTGGGAGGCTGAGGCAGGAGGATCCCTGGGAGTTCGAGACCAGCCTGGGCTACAGAGTGAGTTCAAGGGCAGTCTCAACGACATAGTGAGACTAACTAACTAATTAAAATAAAAGTCAATGCTGGATGTGGTGGCACAAGCTTGTCTGTCATCTCCAGCCCTCAGGAGGCTGAGGCAGGAGGCTCACCGTGAGTGGGAGGCCAACCTGACCCTGTGTCAAAACAAAACAAAACAAAGCAAAACTTAACTCTGTAGGATCTGTGCTGGTGGTGGAAGGCAGAGACACGCTGGGTGACGTGCCTGGTTGTGCAACTTCTTGTGAGTCTGCACTTGTTTTCTGCAGTGCTGGGAATGGAATCCAGGGCCACCCTACTGAGCAACGTCCCCAGCCCTTTTCTTATTTTGACAGGGTTTCTCCAAATTGCTAAGTTGTCCAGGCTGGGCTGGAACTTGCCACCCTCCTGCCTCAGCCTCCCAGAGTGCTGACAGGTGAGCACCTCCACAATCTGCTTTTATTTATTTATTTTTATTTTGAGCCAGGGTCTCCTACATTGTCCACGGGGGAGCTGAACTTGAGGTCCTCCTGCCTCAGCCTCTGAGTACAGAGTTGACAGGCATGCACCTTTTGCACCCATCGCGTCCCCTCACTGGTGTGGTCCCGGCCGGGCCCTCTGGGACGTAGGCATCTTGCATGTCCGGCTGGGGACAGGCTGAGGGAGCGGGGAGGGTGAGGCCCTTGCGGGGCCCTCTTGTCTGAAAAACAAATGTTTGAGCAAGGCCTGGGTCCAGCGACCACGCCTTCCCCTAGGGAGGGCGCTGAGGGCTGCGGTGGGGCCTGGGCCCCTGTGTGACTCAGCCCCTTGGAGCCACGCGGCTCAGACTGTTTGCCGTGGGCTCCACAGACCGCAATCTGGTGGCTCCGGTGGCCCAGGTGTGTCGCGCTGTGCCCTGATAACCGCAATCTGCACCCCTTTGCCCTCCTCAAACACGGACCTTGCCACCTCTGAGACCGGGGCGGGGGGGCAGAGCCGGGTTCGCTTCCCTCGGTGAACCCTGCGGAGGGCACTAGGGAGCCACAGAGAACGTGAGAGCCACATGTCGGTCGGACCCCGGTGGGGAGAGCAGGGCCGAAACTTCAGTGCTGGTCGGAGCCCAAGGGCTGCCCAGGGCCAGGACCGGGTGAAGGGAGCCGGTGCAGGTGTCTCCCGGCGCACACCCACGTCCCAGGTTCTTGCACACACACCAGGGACCCACACTTGGAGGGAAGCGGCACCGTCCCTGTCCCCCCCGGCTCTCCTGTCCATGTTTTCCTTGGTGTCGGCCAACGTGGGAGCTGCGGGGCTCAAACTCGGATCCCCCTGCCTCAGCCTTCTGGGTGCTGGGATTACAAGTGAGAACCACCACATCCGGCAATCTACTTTTTTTCTTTTTGGCGATGGAAGCCAGAGCCTTGGGCATGTCAGGCAAGCGCTGTACAGCATGAGGAAGTGTGTAAGTATCGGCTTCGTGTTGTCGGGCAGACCGAGTACCCTCTGCCAGGTCACGGCCCAGAGATGGACAGTGACCGCTGGGTGTCACACAGCGATGTCTCTGGGGCTCCACTGTGGTGGGTGAGGTCCACCTTGAGGGCCAGCGGTCGGCGGATTCCAGTGCCATCCCCGGGCCGAGACCGCGCTCTGGGGAGCGTGGGGTCCACAGCACACCCTTCCCTGTAGCCCCCAGAGCCGGCCAGGCCCTGCACCGATGGGCCCGGCCTCTTGCCAACTCCCGGGGAGTCAGAAGGAGCAGGAATCTGGGGGCCCCTCCTGTGTTCGGCTGTGAACGCCCAGGTCGTGCGGAGCCAGACACAGCCCCCGGCCCGGGCCGTTCAGTCAGGGGCAGCAGCCGCAGGTGAGAAGGCAGCTGCCGAAGCTCCGGATTCCTGCGCTTGGGCCCCGCTGTGGGGCCCGGAGATGCCGGTCCGCGGGTCGCGGCCAAACACACTCACTAAATATTTGCAAGTGAAGTTCAGCTCTGCTGGAAAAGACAACACAGCAGGGGCCACGGGTGTTATTGAACGGAGGCCAGAAGCCGTCAGCCTCAGAAATCCTCGTTCACGGAAGGAAAACATGAAAAGGGAGATACCAGAAGATTACCTTCAGCAACCGCTTGTGGCTGTTTCAAAACCGAGCGGAGGAGGAGATTAGCCTGATCAGTCAGCGGTGAGAAAGCTGCCTGTACTGCAGCGGTGGGGAGAGGGGGGCAGCACGTTCCAGTTCGAGCTGGGGACAACTTCAGTCATGACATAGGGACGCTGGGCACTGCTGGAAGAAAAAGTACCAAAGCCGGGTGTGCTGGCCCACACCCATCATCCCAGCACTCTGGAAGGCTGAGGCAGGAGGATCCCAAGTTGGAGCCCACCCTGGGCACCTCAGTGAGATCCTGTCTCAAAATATGCTTTTTTTTGGTACTAGGAATTGAACTAAGGACCTCGCGCTTGTGAGGCAGGTGGAGGAAATCCTGAGCTAAATCCCCCCACCTGTCTCAAAATAAAAAATAAAAAAACGGGCTGGAGATTTAGCTCAGCATTCCCATCCCTAGCAGCATAAAGAAAAAGCAAAACAAAAGAAGGGCTGCTATACGTTCCCATGAAGACTTGCACACGAATGTCTGTAGCAGTTTTATTTCTAATCACCAACTGCTGGGAACCAGAGTCCACTCTTGGTGAACAAATGGTCTATCCAAGCAACAGAATACTACTCAGCCGTGAAAAAGGAAGAAAGTACTCAGGGGTGGCCGGGCTGGGTCAGGTGGTGAGTCCGAGCTCTGCGGCTGCGGGAACAAACTGCCATCAGCTAGGCAGCAGAACACAACACAAAGAGTCCTCTGGGAGTTCAGGAATCCGAAGTCAAGGCATCAGCAGAGACGCGGCTGCTGAGGGCTCTGAGGAAGCCCGAGTCCCAGCCTCCTTCCGGCTTCCGGCTTCCTGCAGCTGCTGCCAACTCCTGGGATTTCCTGGCTCTCTGCTTCCATGTTCTGGTGGCTCTAGGGTCTGTTTCTCCGTCACTTTCTTTTCTTCTCTTGCTTGTTCCGTTTGAGACACGGCCTCCAGAGTGCCGAGGTGACAGGCGTGCAGCACCACCCCCGGCCCAGCGCTCTTCCCCAGAGTTTGGATTCAGATCCACCCCGCTCCAGTAGGACCTCATTTTCATTTACACAAAGATACCTGCACCGACCCTCTTTCCAGGAAGCTCGCTTTCTGAGGTCCCCACTGAACTGTGGGCCTTCCCATAAGGCAATGGGAGCCTGTCGAAGATTATTTGCATAGGATGCTGTCCAGCCAATAGCAGTAGGAGGCCCCTGGCAGGTAGCCTGGCATTGGCCCAGCCGCAAGTCAATCCCAGGTGCTGACCCCGCCCTCAGAGGTTGGTCTCATGGTCCCGGGGGTCCTGGTCTCTGCAGCTGCTAGGCCCCCAGGACCCGCGCCCCTTGGCCTCACACTGCAGGAAAAGCGGGAGGTCCTCCGCTGCAGGCCGGAAGGTGGGGGCGCTCTTGGCGCCCGAAGGAATTTCTTCCAGACCCTGGGGAAGGGGAGACAAAAGGGCCCCATCAGAAACCCTACTTCTGGACTGGAGATTTATGAAAGATCCTGAGTACGATCCCTGGTACCAGAAAAAGAAAACAAACAAACAAACAAACAAACAAGAAAACCCCCAACAAATCCTATTATGCTCCGTTACAGGTCTTGTCCCAAAGCGGGACACTGAGGACCTAGGAGGCTGGCACAAGCCCTGGCACAGTAACCCCAGCTACTCAGGAGGCGGAGGCAGAAGAAAAGAAGGTAGAGGCTGACCTGGGCAACATAGTACAACTCTGTTCAAAACAAAAACATTAAGAAAGAGCTAGAAGTCGGGTGTCACACATGCCTGTCACGTTGGTACTCAGGAGGCTGAGGCATGAGGATCTCCAAAAGTTCAAGACAAGCCTGGGCTACATAGCGAGTTCAAGCCTACCCTGAACTCGTGAGACCTTGTCTTCTAAAAAAAGAAGGAAGGTGGCATGGTATCGCAGTGCTTGTAATGCCAGTGCTCTGTCTGGATAGGGTTTTTGTTTGTTTGCTTGCTTGGTTTTTGAGACAGTGTTTTGCTATGTAATCCAGGCTGGCTTTATTTTTTGTTTTGGGGTTTCTCCTCCTCCTCCTCTTCCTCCTCCTCCTCCTCCTCCTCCTCTTCTTCTTCTTCTTCTTCTTTTTTTTTTTGGTACTGGGGATCGAACTCAGGTCGTTGTGCTTCCAAGGCAGGCGGAAGAGCCACTGAGCTAAATCCCAGACTGTTTTTCTTCTTTTTTTGTATTGGAGATCAAACTCAGGACTTTGTGTTTGCCAGGCAGGCACAGTGACACTGAGTTACATTCCTGCCTCCCCTCACTTTTTTTTTTCTGCAGGCTGGCTTTGAACTCACTACATAGCCCAGGCTAGTCTTGAACGCACAGTGATCCTCCTGCCTCAGCCTCTGCTTTGGTAGGCTGATGCAGAAAAATCTAAAATTTTGAGCCAACTGGAGCAATTTAGCAACATAAGAAGTTGCTGTCTTTAAAACATAAAAAAAGAGGGGTTGGGGATTTAGCTCAGTGGTTCCACCGCCCAACTCGCAAGTGCAACGACCTGAGTTCGATCCCCAGTACCAAAAAAAAAAAAAAAAAAAAAAAAAAAAAAAAAAAAGAAGGAATATATCTCAGAGATCTCAGGGGTAGAATGGTTGCCTACCGTGCAAAAAGCCCTGGGTTCAATTCCCAGTACTGTAAAGGAAAACAAGGGGGAGGGGGAGGAGGAGGAGAAGAAAATACAAGAAGATATTTTCCATAGCAGCTGGAGGTAGCATTAAAGCACTTGGACCAAACCTCTCTGCCCCAGGGCCTTTGCACCTGCTGTGCTGCCCTCCCCCACATGGGCTGCCTGGTTCCTGCTCACCCTGGTCCTTCCATGTCATCTCCTCTAAGAGTCCCCACAGTGCTCTGGCTGACACTGCTTGGCTCAGCAACCCATCTGTTATCTTACCACTCCTTACTGCTGGGCACCACTTTATTTTTGTTGCTTTCATCTCGCCCAGGAAGGGGGACCAGACCCCCAGTGACAGTTTGGCCCAGACTCGGGGCCATTGCTCAGCAGTCACACGGCTCTGGCCAAGAGCCATTGGCCCTGTGGGTTTCTTATGTAAGATTTCCTCCAACTTGGCTCACATTCAATTTAAGTAATTTTATCTTCACAAGAGACTTTATTTATTTTTTTGGTACTGGGGACCAAGTGCTTTCAAGGCAGGCGGCAGAACCACTGAGCTAAATCCCCGGCCATAAGAATTTAGATCAATATCCTAAGGGCAATCCTGTTTCCTTACTACACATCGGAAGAAACTATAAGTCATCGCAGCACTCAGAAGGCTGAGGCAGGAGGATCGCCACAAGTTGGTGGCCAGCCAGGGCTACATGGTGGGACCCTGTCTCCAAAAAAGAAAGAAAGAAAAAGAGAAAAACCCATAGGAGAGTCGCTAGGTCGCCACTGTGGCCACCCAGGGAGCCTCACTGAGGTCAGGCCCCGAGTCGCGCCTTGCCATCCCCCGTGTGGTCCCGACCTAGACGCACCTTCACCAGGCCGTCATCCAGTGTGGCCACGTCCTCCGTGGGGGCCACCGACGCCGTCTGCCGGGTGAGGTCCCACCACAGCAGCCCGGGTCCCAGGCTGCTGCGCTTGGTGGGGCCTGAGGGAGAGACGCGTGGTGAGGGGGCCACGGGGCCGAGCCGGGTTCCCATCCCCGCTGCCACAGCAGCAGCCTGGTGGACCCTTGCTGCCTCAGTTTCCTCACCCACCCACGGAAGGACTGTAATAGGTCAAAGGCTGGCTGGCTCCCCGATTACTGGAATGGTACCCAGCATCTAGAGGGGTTCAGTAAAAGCCTGGAGAATAATTTAAAGTCTATTTTCTATCACTATTGTTTTCTGTTTGTTTTTTGTTGGTTTTTGTTTCGAGGCAGGGTCTCGCGGTGCAGCACAAGCGGGCCTCCAACTCGCTGCAATCCTCCTGCCTCAGCCTCCCGCGTGCTAAGCCCGCACGCCCAGCTGGACGTCTGCTCCTGCTTCTCCGCGGCCTTGGGAATTCCCCAGGGGCGTGGAGCGGCCGCTTCCGGGAGGAAAGGCCTCTTCAGCACCGCGGACAGCACCCCGGAACCGCACCCACCTTCGGCCTGTGGCTGGGCTTGGGGGCGCTGGGCCTCCCGTTCAGTACCACAAAATGAGCCCCGGGATCGCAGGGGGTCCTGAGGGGGCAGCGGCAGGCGTGGGCGGGGCCCAGGCAGAGGGACGGGAGGAGGCCGGCGCGGCTCACCCGTCAAGTAGCTGACCAGGGCGCCGCACAGCACGGTCGTGAGTGTGCCCAGGGCTCCGTAGTACAGGTAGGAGATGGCGTAGAAGCTGTGAACCAGAGCAGGCCGCCCTGGGGCTTCCGCGGAGCTGGAGCCCGAGCCTGTCACCCCAGCACTGGGGAGGCTGAGGCAGGAGGATTGCTGCGAGTTAAGAGGCCAGTCTGGGCTACATAGGGAGTCCCTGTCTCTATAATTTGAACATAAACTTTAAGAAAAACCTAGTAATGAATTGAAAAGAAACAAAGAGAAAGGCAGGGAAGCAGTGGCCACACTGTAACCACGGCTGAGCCTCAAATAACTTATGGAGGCCAGGGGCCGGGAGGGAGCAGGAAGTGGGACGTGACTGCTTATTGGGGTGAGAGCACTTTTGGGGATAATGAGGATTTCCTGTACTAGAAACTGAGGGTCTTTGCATAAATCTCATGAGTTTACTATACTCTACCCCCGCCCTGATGTACTGGTAATTGAATCCAGGACCTTGGGCATGCTAGGTACGTAAACTGCCACCGAGCCGCATCTCTGCCCCACAAGCCCCCCCTTTATAATTAATTTTATAGTATATCAATTATATATGAATAAAAAAGAATCAAGTTCCCCTGGCTGCAAGTGCCACCAATCTGGCCTCCATCACACCCATCCGGGCCTCCTGCAGAGGTCAGCTCTGGCCACTGGGCCTTTGCACCTGCCGTCTCCAACAGGAAGGCCGATCGCTTGCAAAAGGGCTCTTTTTCAGACCTCACCCAGGCCACGCCTCCCACACTCACAGCCCTTCCTACTCACCCAGAGTTGTTGATGGTGGCAAGCGAGTATAGGACCGAGGCGTTGCTGAAGGAAACCATACAGCCCGTGGCGGAAGACGGCAGGACACCCATGGTCTGCTCACTGGGTGGGTACAGCGTGGCACCCAAGGCCACCCATAGGGAGAGCAAAAAGCCCACGCCCAGCCCGGAGAGGACGCCCTGGGGCGGAGCCAATGTGAGGGGCGGGGCCTCACCGCCCACCCGTCTCATCCCGCGTCCTCGCCCTGCCTGTGCACTCACTCACGAGGAGGCCCCGCCCGGCCCCGCCCTCAGACGCTGAAATCAGAGATGTAATAGGAGAAATTTTTCCTGAGCAGAAGAATTATTGATTTGTTGGAAGGGCCATAGGGTTCTCTGGATCATTAATGAAAACAAAGCAACACTTGGATATACTCTGGCAATTTTCTTTTAATCTCAAGGAATAACAAAGAAAGTAGTAAACATTAAAAGGTCTGCTGAATGGAACAATAAATCATGTAGTTCCAGACTCCTTTTCCACTTCCAGAAAAGCTATGAAGAGATGGAGTCTAAGGAAATTTGATAATAA